CATCTTTTGAACCTGTGTGTTTCTTATCCCATCTCCGCTTTTGATTTGCTGTATATCATGATACTTGAGCAGATTATTTGTGAAACTTAATTTTTTAAAAAAAAAATGGTTTGAGAATCATTATATCATGTTCTTTTTTTCCCTATAAAAATTGGTTCAAGATCATGTCCACATCTATCAAGATGCAGGAGATAGACATAGGTAATTGCTTTTATGAGCAAATAAAGTCGAACCAGTAAGTTAGGGAGCCAAACAAATTTTCTCTGTAGATTACTCCATGAAAACACTTGGAAAAAAATTTCCCTCTGAATCTTGACAAATGAATAAAAGAATAACTTTTTATTTTGAAAGTCCTAATGTTTAAGTGGGCTATAGTGTAGTAGCCCAGCTGGTGACATGGCTCACTATATAAAGGTGCCTGCTGGTGCCAAGCCTAGACCCACATGGGGGAAGGAAAGGGCCGAGTCATGACACATGTGTGTCGATACACACCTGACTTTCAGGTCCTGCGGGAGTTATGAAGTTTCTTATCTTTAGCTTCCCAGTGGTATCGGTCTGAGACAGAGTGGCGGTTGTACAAGTTAGTTCATATTTTAAAGATCTTGTCCAAGTGCAGAGCCCGCAGTCAAGGCTAACACTTTGTTGTGTCTGAAACTCAGTGTGGGGGACATGGCAAAACAGCAGCGACATCTGATTAAAGAGTGTGCAGAACTTGCAGGCTACATAAAACAGTGATTATAGTGCAGAGGAGAACTTTAATACGTATGAATATTAATAATATTTGCATGGAGGGAGAGATCAAACTAAATTTGAAGTCAAAACAGAAAAGCTAGAGAAAAGATTAGAGAATTTAAATTTAAAAAATAAAAAAACATAGACTATATGTCTCATAATGTAAGGTGATATTTAGACAGCAAAAATACTGAGAGCTTTAGCGTGTTTTTATTTGAGCACCTTGTTGATACTCTGAATCATAATGGCTGTTTCCCAGGAAAGCCATGCCTCTATAAGAGCTTGAGAGTGGGGTTTTAGGGAAACACATCCCAAGGACCCCCAAACCAAGCACAAAGACGATTCTAAAGTCATTTGCAATGGGAAGCCATTATTTCTTTTTGTGTTTGCCCTTGGAAATGAAAGAAAACACTGAAACAGCCAATATTATTATCAGAAATGGAGTTCCCAGAGCACATGGCATTCTGGAAAATGACAGTAGGTTATACCCAGTAATTTACGAGGATGAACAAGGAAGTCATTAGATACCAGGGTCGCTCAGTCTGAGCAGTGGTCACATGTACCTAAAGTTGCTCCGCCGGTGGTCCCTCAGAGAGTTCAAGCAGAAGTTAGGGACTATACACAGACATTAGACTCTGACCGTTGGATTCCAGTCCCAGCTCAGCACTTAACTTCCATGTGTGTTAACTTGGGTAGGACTCAAAACTGCCTGCCTTGTCTTCGTCATGTGTGAAATGAGATTAAGCTAAACTAATGTTCTCCTCACAGAGAATATAATCAGAGCAAAAACATGCAAAAACTATATACTTGCACAGTTTTTTCCCAATGAAAAGAAATTAGACAGGACAATGGATCTGTGATCTTGCTCTTTTCGTTATTCAAAGTTCTTGAACCTTCATGAAATCATCTGAATTCAAAGTTTTTTACCTATACTCCGTAGACTATGGGGCATTGTGTGGATAGAATTCAAGGTGATGTGAGGTTGGTAAAACTATAAAATTTGTATTGATTTTTACTAGTCTCTAATTTGAAATTTAGCATTTTTTCGGTACTCAGTCAGATTTACCATAACTGTGACTATATCATGAGCAGATTAGGATACTTTGATACCACATTATAGTTATTCCTGATATTTGAAATGATTTGCGCATGGCATGTCTTTGATGTTATGGTAATCGTGATAACTGCTGTTAAACCTGTTTTTAATCTATTAATTAAGAATCCCATAGAGAGACTTGGGAGATGTCTTCGTAGGTAGAAAGTGCTTGCTTTTTAAGCATGAGTACCTGAGTTCAAACCCGAGGACCTACATTAAAAAAGAAGCCAGCCATGGTTGTACGTGCTTGTAATCTTAGCCCTTGGGAGGCAGAGGCAAGATGATTATGAGTTCTTGTGGGCTGCATAGTAAGACCTTGTCCCCAAATAAAATTTAAAAAATAAATAAAATCTCTTAGTGTTGTAATGAAAATAGTACATTGTGTGATTTAAGGCGTAGCTTCTCATTCTGTAGTCGGGGAAAGCACCGCTGCTGTCATCCTGGAAGGTGCAGGTCCAACTGTGCCAGCCCACTGGGGGGGGGGGGGGGGCAGAGCGAATGGCCAGCAATGCACACAGCCTTGTGTTAATACCTCCTGGACACCCAGACAATGCTGGGCCGTCAGAGAGATCATCTGGAAACACATACAAAAGGCAGCAGTTTGCATTTCACTTTTACATTTCTTGTATTTGCCATCATGCATTTTAACCATAAAAATGACAGTGACTGAGACTGTCCTGCCCCCGGGACCTTTGCTCAGCCCTCCTCGGAGCACACACTGGAAGCCTAATAACATGTGCGTCTGCCCATAACTCTCTTGGTTCCTTCGCTTCTCACTCTGGTGCCACACTCTCTGCTGACTTTACTTGGCACCTCACAAGATAAAACTGAGAAGTTTATGCCGGGGTATCTTTTGAGTCTTCTCTCCTAGTTTGACTTTGTGCCTAAAGAATTGGGATTCACTTACGAAAGCACAGCAAAGAAAGTAGTATTTAATTTCGATAGCGCATTCATCTCAATTTCCAGTGTTGGTTATTTGAGCTTCCTCAATCATAGACATTTAGAGGAATGATCTTCCTGGGAATTGACATTGTTCTTCATCCTGTCTGATCATGGTGGCCTTACCATGGAGAAAACACATGTTTAAGGTTTTAGTAACATGCAACAACCTCATGCACCAAAGACGTTTTGTACGACTAAGGACCTGGCTCAGTAGGTAAGTACACTTGTTATGAAAGCAGGAAGACATGGGTTCAAATCCTTAGCATCCACATAAGAAGTCTGACCTGGCTGTGTAGCCTGTAACCCCAGTGTTGGGGACAGGAGAATATGAATAGTCTAAAGGCCAGTTCATGTTCAGTGGGAGAGAGATGATGTCTTAAAAAATAACATTAGAGCCATGTGGTGTTGGCACACACCTTTAATCCCAGCCCCTGGGAGGCAGAGGCAGGTGGATCTCTGTAAGTTTGAGGCCGGCCTGGTCTACAAGAGCTAGTTCCAGGACAGGCATCAGAGTTACAGAGAAACCCTGTCTTGAATAAACTAATACTAACACTAATACTACTACTACTAATAATAGAGCAACAGAGGAAAATACCTAACATACTCCTTTGCCCTGTGCATGTGTGGTCATGGACACATTCTCCTGCACACACATGTGCATCACCCCTACACACATGCATGTGGGGGGGGGGAGAGAGAGACTTTCAAAAAGGATAAATGGTAAACTCAAGAGTTTATGACTTTGTAATCTTGCCTTTCTACAGAGTTCTACATAGGATTCACCGACCACATCCCTTGTAAAAATGGGATGCAATGTATTTCACTGATTAAAGATTTTAAATAAAGCTCGGCATTTAGAAGCACTTGATGCCCTTGCAGGGGACCTGAGTTCAGTTCCCAGAGCCCACAAAGATGCTCAGATCCATCCTTTTTACCTCTACGTTAAAAAGAGATCTGATGCTGTCTTCTGGCCATTGTGGGTGCCGGGTACACATGTGATGTCCAGATAAATACTAATAAACTAAAATAAAACTAAATATTTTGATAATTTCCATGTTATATCTGTCTGATTTTTTTTTTTGCTCACCAGTTTCAAAATTCATTTGACCACAGAGTGCCCCCCTCCCCGCAAGTTTACCTGATAAGTGGGTCACACCAGAGAGTACCTCTCTGCAGCGCCCTGCACTTAGGTGCTGGAGATGCAGCTACAACAGCACTCGTTCATTATTTACAACAGCAAAGGGTACTCTAAATGCTTTCCATCCAGCAGACCAGGGCTCACAACTCGTCCATCTAAGCAGGCACTCTTACCGCTCTGTTTACAGATGCGAGAACTCCTCAGCCTTGGAACTCCTCACATTTGGGCCATGGCTTGTTCTAAGGAGGTGTCCCCTATGCATTGCACGGTGTTCAGCACCTTTCCCATCCTTCACCCGTGTCCACCGACAGGACTTGAGTTGTTCCTGGTTGAGAATTGCTGTTGTAAACTTGTACCAGAAATACACTTTTTTGAATGACCTTCTTAGTGGCGGTTACGATGACTCATGGTCATGACTGGGCAAATTGCACACTGCAGACCCTGTGTCCACACCAGGCAGAAGGCACATGCGTGGGGTGGATATGAGCTAAACTTGACCCATCCTCCTCTATCTTGCAGCATTTCCGCACATTGCTACTAGTGAGAGCCAAAGGCTACAGTTCTTGATTCTGCCTTGAACTTCTTTTAATTGCCCCATGCATATAACCCCAATTCACATATTGTTTCTTTTCCATACTTTCCCTTGGACTTGACCCATCATACACACGCAAACACACAGGCAATCTTCATTTTCTCTGTGTAATAGAGAACTTAATATATCTGAATTGCTTCACAGCAAGAATTTTATGTCTCAGCCAAGACTTGCAGCTGCCAAGAAAAACAAACTCGGTAATGAATAACTCACAAAGATTTGGTAAAGAGAAAGGAAAGTTATATGATGAAGTATATTACTAAGATATTGAGTTTTGTTTATTCAGTGTGATAACTTGTTAAATTCACACAAGTCAAACGAGTTTGAGGCTTTTTGGTCATTGTTTCTTTGTAATTTCATATTCTCTTTTCAGGAGTAGCTCGAGGGGAGCGGGTAGGAGAGAGAGAAGGTGGGGGAAACAGGGGTTGAGTTTGATTGATTTAAATCCTAGTCTTTCCAAACATGCTAACCATATCACTGGTTTCCTTTTTTCCCCTCAGGGTTTGGTTCCCCACCAGCAAGATGAAGTAACGATGCGAAACTGATCACATCGCTGAAGAGTTGACATGAGAGAATGTGCATCAGCATCCAGCTCAGGTCCCTGCCTGTAAGTTTCCCACTTTCCTTCCTGGACCAGCTTTTCTGATGACTTTATGTCCGTGATCTTTAGGTCTAAACCAGTTGTTTTGGAGAGAGACAGAGACCATTGAGTGGTGTTATGCAGATAGCTATTAGAAGGCAGAGCCTGGGGAACAGGGGGAATACACAGGGCTCAAGGTCACTGAACTTTGAAAGATTTGTATTTAAAGTTAGTAGGGTGGCGTAGGGAGGGACAGAAAGGGGCTGCAGAGGGTCGGTGGAGCCAGACCTCGCCCTCTGATTCCACTTTGAGCAGACATTTGAATGCCTGCCATGTGCTGAACACTGCAAACCCTGGAGAGGGAAAGAGGACAAACAAAAGTTAGCTATTCTGTCCTTGTCCCATGGCTCCTTAGAATCAGTGGTCACGTGATGCCTTTGTACCAGCTCTGTCCAAGTGATCTGTGCTGCAGCGACTGCTAGATTGGCTGAACTCAGAAAGAATGTCTGGCTGCATTAATGCTGTCTGCCGTGGGAAAGAGATAAGGGCAGCGACAGCACAGGGTTCGGTAGACTCTGCTCCAGTCTTTCAGTGTGAGGGGCTGACCCATTAGGATATCATGAAATCAGCTTTATGGGTCACACTGAGTGATATTCAAGAAATGAAAGAGGGGAAGCTGGAAAAACATTCAAGTGCATTGTTCATAGCAACCTATTGCTTCGTGAAACCTTGCGCAGTCGTGCACACGCTGGGTACCAGGTCACAAAAGAATGCCTTTCTTATAACGATTCCCATAAAAGATGTAACCACTCCCCACTTTTGTTTTTTTGGAATTGCATACACATTTAACAGTTTAAATCCTGTTAATGGAAAGGGTGAACCAATGTTTATCCTGGCAAACATCCTTCAACGCGTTGAGTCTGCTTTTGTGAGCGCTTCTGTGTAGAGAATGTCTAACTCGGTAAGTTCTTTGAGGAGGCAAATCGACTTTCTGATTTACAGCCACAAGGCCTGATTGTCCTGTCACACAGCAAGAATTTATAGAAAAAGTGTCAGAGTTAAGCACAGAAAGTAGAAGCGCATATATCATGTGCTGGGAACGTGTCTACCATGAGGGATTAGGAACCGCAAACGCCATTTTACCATTTGACCTTGTTGTTGGTCTTGTGTATTCCAGAAGTGTAGAGAGAGAAATGAAACCCCACGATGAGGATAAGAAAGGTGCTTCTGGAAAGGGAAAGTGTCTGGAAGCCTTGAAGATTAAAGGCTGAGAATAGGAAGCCTAGGAACTAGACCAGAAGGGCCACCCTGCAAGAGAACTGGGGTTCAAACTGGTACCGCTCTTCTGGCTTCTGTGGCCCTTGGCAGAACACTGTACTCTTAGATCCTTAATTGCCTTACATGTGAAATGCATGTGACAGCGTGCTTCATGGGGTGATTATCCAGATAACTAAGATAAACAGAAAGTTTATATTTAAAGCATCCATTGCATCATGAATGGCCAGATGCTTAATTGTCCCTGAACGCTAACCTAGAGAAAACCAGTGCCTTAATTGCTGTTGGGCTTACAGTTTCAGAGGGCTGGAGTCCACAGTGGTGGATTGAAGTGTGGTGACAGGGACAGCTGAGAGCTCATATTTCCATCCACAAGCCAGAGGCAAAGAGGATACTGGGAATGGTGTCTTTGCATCTTTTGAACCCTCAAAGCCTACCACAGTGACATACATCTCCCACGAAGGCCACACCTCCTAACCCTTCCCAAACAGTTTCAGAGTCTAGGGACTGAGTCTTCAGATGCACAAGCTTTTGGAAGGCATTCTCATTCAAATCGCCACAGTCAGATTTGCATTTTTTTCAACATCGTTTCCTTATAAACACCCTTGGAAACAGAGGGGCACGATGATAATTTAAAAAGCAGACCTCAGGTGCAAAGTCCTTTCGTCTGCCACACCCCAGCTGTGCACTTGCGGCTCTTGGCTTTATCTTGATTTGGGGAATGAGGGAAAAGGGGTCCACTGAAGGCATCCTCCAAGTCTGCTTACTGCTCATACCATTTATACCACAGCCCCATCCACAGTTATGCATGATGCGCACACATTCAGCAGAGGTTTGGCCTCTCTTGTACATTAGGCTGTCGGTACTGACTAGTTTTTACTTCTCTGAGTTAAGAAAAGCACTTCTACTCTCCTGTTTGGTCAAATAGCTGGATACCGCCCCCACAACAGTTCTTCCCCCCTGAGTCTTCAGTCTCCATCTCCCAAAGTTAGTAGCCATAAGCTCTCGTTGTTTCCTAGAATTGCTTAAAGCAGGACTTCTTTTTTATAATTCACAAGTGAGGCATTGCAATCCATTTGCATGTGAACAAAAAATGGCGTTACCTTTGTCCAAGAAGGTCCCTGTTCCGGCATGCAGTTTATTAAATCTCAGAGAAGGAGTCCCTTTCAAAGAATCTGTTCATTTGTCTTAGAGGGCGGGATCAAACCAGAGCTGACCATATGTGCCCCACTCCAGTATATGCCGATGGCTAACCCTGTGCCATACCTCTCTCTACAAGTGGCTTTGGTGTGTTTTCTGTTTTGCTCCTTGGAGGATGGTATTTGCGTGCCCAGCAGTTCACAGCAGCACTAGACTTTCTGCATGGAAATTAAGAGTCTAAAACACAGGGTAAGTAAGGAAGACCCTGGAGTTGCGTTCCTCATGTTGCCCCTCAGTTGCCAAGAGGGTCATGCTGTTGGAGAAGAGCAAGGTGTTGGTGGCCCCGTAGCATAGCAACAGCGACTTTGATGTTTCCCAGACCTTGGGATTCTGTAATCCATTAATTTCCTATTTGGAAGGCTTTAAATAATGAAAATTTACAAATTAATACTTTGCCCTTTATGAGCTACTGGCTTTTAGAAGCTGATATTTAGTACACATATGCTATTTTACATATTCATTGCCAAAATATTACAATTATGAGCCCTTAAGGAATAAATTTTTGGTGCTTTATTCCCCTAGCCAGCTCTGACTGTTTTTGTGCTGTTTGTATTTTCTCTCTCAGACTATTATGTGCATTGTGAAATTCAATGGGTCTCTGAACAGTTATTATAATTTTAGGGACTGCCACCAAATATAAAGAAAATAGGTAAATAACATAAAAAGTTGAAATTATTTTTAAAAGATTTGACTGAAATTATGAAATTTCTTAACACTATTGGCCATTCTTAAGATTAAAGAAAATAATCTTTAATTTTTTTTGGTAATTTCGTGCATGAGTGCTATATTTACATCATTTCTACCTCTTCCCCCTCTAACTCTTCCTATGTCCTTCCCCATTCTCTCTCAAACTCATGACCTCTTTTATATTATCATTTTTGCATACGTATGGGTACATGACCTGCTGAGTCCATTCAGAGTTGCTCATATGTATAAAGTTTAGGGCCGTCCACTTGTGACTGGACGACCTCTCATGGAGCTCCTCCCTGGAGAAGACCCATCCTCCCTCTCTCTGCTGCCACCCTGGTGGGGCCCAGTGACATTGGCATGTTGTCTGCTGTCACCATGCAGGTCTTGCTTAGGCAACCAGACTGTTGAGATTTCATGCCGCATCCTTTTCTTTAGAGCATCCTGCATGTTGAGAAGATACTGTCTAGAAACAGGCATCCTGGTCCTCTGGTTCTTCCAATCTCTGTACAGCCTCAAACCTAGGGAAACTTAGAAAAATTACGTGTCTGCTGTGATAGTAGGCATTTTTTTACATACTACACTGAAAGACTGTCATGGATGTAGCTAACTGAACATCATTTCCCACAAAAGCAAAGACTCCGAATGATTTTCTAGAGTAGGCTTAATTTATTATTTTTATTTATTACTCACGACCCCTTTTCACCTGAGACATTTATACATATGTAAAATAGGTATGCAAATAACATTAGCTGATAATAGATTACAGAGAATTATTTTAAAACCATGCAATCTTGCCACTTAGTACATACATTATCATGCTAATGAGAAGGGTATGTTTATTTCCCTTTATGTACAGAAATTTTGGCTGGTGATTTGATACTGCAAAAAGAGCACATGAGCACTTTTCAGAATTGATCTGTATTTTGATTTTATAATCTTTAGTGGAGACGCCTCTTCACATACTTACAGAGTTCACATAAAGCATAAGCTACCTCAGAGCCGTTTCAGAAATATTTGGAAAGAGTGTCCTATTGTGTAGTGACTTGACACATTAAATGAGTGGATGAATAAATAAATAAAGAGACTCACTCTCTGGAAGGCCATTCAGCCCAAAGCCTTCTACATAAGCAGAAGCCCTGGAGCACGAATGGCTGTGTCCCCTCAGCACAATTTAAATTTCCCTGCAAGGGAATTGTATTTTACTAGAATTTGGTAATGCTAGTCTGATATGTAATTTTCACTGTTGGATCCTCTGACAGTTTTTCTTTTGAAATATCATCTTTTCAATGTCCTTAAAAGTTTAGGTATGGTGGCTCATCCCTATAATTCTAGCACTTGCTGAGACAGGAGGATTACTGTAAGTTCAAAGCCAGCCTGGGCTATACAGTGAGTTCCAGACAAGCCTGTAGAGTAAGACCTGTCTAAAAAATGAGTAAATTGACTTATATCATTGATCAGCTTCCACTGTCTGTGGGAGTCATGGTTCTTAATGATCTGACGTATATACAGTAAGTGGAGCTTGTGGTTTAGGAACAACAGAGTGTGCACAAAGGGAGCTGGAATAGGGGATGTGGGCTGCCTCTTCTGATTCATAGTTTTGGGAAGCATGGTTGGGATAACAGACCCTTGAGATCAAAAGGAGACTTCAAATCATACCCAGTCAGTTTCTGTCTCACTGTTTGGTGATTCAATGTCCTGTGCATGCTCAGAATAGTGTGCTTATGTGTGCTTGGGCCTACAGTTGTGTGTTGGGGGGTAATACAGTGTCCAAAGCACATTCGGTTTTCTTTGGCCTTTGGACTGACCTTACATTTACCTGAAAAAAAATGCATATTTTACTATTTTATATTTACAGCGCCCTA